CATAGTCAGAGTGCCTTTGTCCACAAATTCTGCGTAAAATGGGTCTTGAAAGATTCTCAGCAGTACGCTTGCATTCTTACAGTATACTTGCTTACCTTCATTACTAGTCCATCAATTTTCATATCTACTCTCATTCTGGGGCGTATTATCTTACAACTAAAAGAGTTAGGCCGAATCTACCCTTAAGTCCGTACTCTAGAAACCGGTCCCTCTTGACTCATAAAATTCAAACGATTCAGAGAATGCCGTCTCTTTCAAAATGTTGCACAATAATTTGGTGTGAACTTACCGGTTTCGAGGCGAACTTCGGAACAGGCTTATCTGCCTGAAAGGGAATTGAAATCAGTCAGTCTGTGGATTTCGCTGTCTACGAAACCCTTGCTACATATCAATACGCAAATACCACAACTTTATTGCAGGTATGGTTCAGGAAACAGAAGCGCGATTCAAAGACGATATCACAATAACAAATTTCGGAACGAACCTTGTAGCAGCTCTTGCACTTCGGCGAGCGGTCCACCTCATAGAATGGCGTTCCAGGAGGCAGATCCTTTTTGCACGTCTTGCATTGTATCTACATTTATTTATTATTTGATATTTGAAAAAAAAACTAAGCATAGGTTTTGGAGACAAATTTTCCTTCTTGAAAGGAACTGTGACCACCTGATTTGCAGAAACAGAAGAATGTAAGACCCGCTAGCAAATGAAGGGTAATAAACAGCATTGTAATTTGCACGGCCTTATGCAACTATTCTACCCATTTTGAGATGCAAACTAGTTTAAAGTCACATTGCGAAAAGTTCGGGAGCCAGCATTGTGGATTACACGGAGAAGTCTGTTATTTTGAAGCGTGAAGATTCAGAAATACCTGATAACTTACAATTAGATTTCTTCACCCTAGGTGCCCACGAGGTCACACAGAACCATCGGAGTAGAATGCAGCGACGTTATCGGTTTGGAGCTCATTGAAGCAGAATTGGAGACGAGAGAGTATTGCAGATGACTAAGCAGGGACAGCACCACCACTATTCCGCAAAAGCCGGAGCCAATACAAGCGACCAAAGCCCGGCACATATAGTAAGCCCGGCTCTAGACCGATCTTGGAACGAGTCAAGCGCTAGTTACGCTAGCGAAAATGGCACCCATTCCGCGGTAGTGGATCTACTCATTTTATTTGAAGAAGAGGCTCAAAAACACAGCTCTATCGCGGAATACGCCTTTCAGCGCTCACATGTCATCTTCGAGCTCAAATTCTGACTTTACGACAATTTATTCGCGTAAAACGCATTCAACTTACCGGTTTTGAAGAAGTCCAAAGTACAGGCCTCGCACCGTCACTCTGAAAGCAAAACCTCTTCATGCTAATATCTCCACTTCTGAAGCAGCGACACTAAAACAGCTACAAAGGCACAGGGGATGGAAAAGGTGTGTTATTTTCTTCCAAAATCAGACAGAAAGCGCAACGAGGAACGGCAGTATGAAGAAAAAGCAAAAGCACCATAGAAAGCACTGAATTTCTCTTGATGGTTGATAGACACAAGCTGCTAGGGGAGGAAAAACGCGAAAGAGCACGTCGTACGCGAGAGGGCGCAGACGTCACGTATGCCGCGATTGATAAGGATGGCAGCGGTCGCAGCGGTCAAGCGAAGGCATTCTCATTTGTCGCGCACTTTCAAGTCGCGACAGTATCACCACCTGTGACTAGGGGTCCTGTCACCCCACTCAAGAAAGAATTTCCCTATAGATCCAATCACGACCCATGCCTTCCTTAGCTGACAAGTCAGTGTTGCCTCGGTAGCTTGCCCGAGTTTTTGAAATGCTATACAAATTGTAGGTAAGGTAGAATTATGAGTTTTTCTCAGCTCTACGGAGACCTCTAGATAAAAACAACTCACAATGCAGCAATCTTCGCATTTTGGTGAGTGGTCGACTTCATAATACGGCGTGCCGGCTGGTATATCCTTCTTGCAACTTTTGCAAAGTGCCTGAAACACATTCGACGCGATAGAAAAATTTCCAGGGATTAGTACCAGTCACCACAACTATCCATTGTTCTTGCCTAAACTAATTATGGTCACATTTCTCTCACACAGTACTTACAGGATAGGAAACCACAACAAAAATCTACTCTCCTGTGAGGTTTCAGCGAGTGTTAAAACTGTCTATGGAGTTCCTGGAACTCGTCACTCTATCATCTAGACCGTCCACTGAACACTACGATTTGCACGTCCTTATTCGCTATCACGGGGAATGGAGTCCGGCTCTTTGAATTTAGAGGCCTCACACCATAAAACGAAAAAATCGGATCTGACGACATGCTCCCACATCAAGTTTTAGTCCAGATGTTGTTTTGCCCGATCACGGTCTCATCCGCTCCACATCCAGTGAACGTATTTGAATAATTTGAGCAGGTTAAGAATGCGTGACAGGGATTTTCAAAGATCCGAAGCCAATCCAGTAGTTCTTTGGGAAATATGGAAACAAGAGGATGAGAATATGATAGCGATGATCTTGATAGTTGTGTACGTTTCATGGTTTGAATTTTTAGGCAATTTTGGCCACCATAGTATGTAATATATTAGATTGCAAGATAAGCCTCGTTTCACATGGGATTTTCCTGGCGTTCAATTATTTTACTTTATAGTTCAGTTGATAGTGACACTCACCGGCTCTGTAGCGACCTTCGGAGTTGGTCTGGCACCATCATCCTAGAAATAAATTCTGTTATACATAGAAATGTTCAGCAAATTAGTTCGTGAATGTGTCTTCTTCATTCAAGACTCAATCAGCGCTTCGACGTGTTTATCAGGTCCAATATGAGATCGCAATTATTTGCGTTTAATCATGAGTTGAAATTTTTTCCTGATGGTAATCCCTAATATTTTGATGCATATGCACAAATCATTGATACCTAGTACAGTTTATCTCGGATTGTGAAGCACCCCACACGTCCATTCTCTGAGTTTAGACTGGGCGCCACAGCAGACCACACAAAGACAAATTCAAATCGCTCCTTTTAGCAATCGCCTCCACTTTTTGTGAGGACGTTCAGCGAAGTATGCAGAAGCGATACCATCCCTCATTAGCAATACATGCGAGTGCTGCAGTCGTACGAAAGCGCAGCGATACAGTGCTTCACGGCTTTTTGTGAGAACTGCAGTCATGTGTAGTCAGTTATCATCTCATTGACTTAGAAGCATATGATCTTGGGATTAAAACCTTAACAGAAGACGCGCAGCACAAGTAAAAAAGGTGGGGAGAACGTCACAGTACAGCACTCCTCGCACTTTGGTGCGCGATCAACCTCATAGAATGGCGTCCCAGCAGGAATCTCTTTGTTGCACTTCTTACAGGATACCTGAAAATGAACATTTCGATAGTTAGACCTAAAGGCACAGCCCACGATCAAGTTGGTATGGTAATTTCATTCAACCTAGAAATGCTACTTCCATCGCCAACTATTAAAAAAGAAACGACACTGTCAGGAGTATCGAAAATGCGAGACTACCAATTTGACGTTAATAGACGTAAAGAAGCGGAGAGCGAGGTAATAGATGCGTGTCGATTAGAAATAGTAGGGGAGAGGAGGGCATAGTGTAGAACGAATCACAGAAATGATAATAGTAGGAGCGTATGAATCTATGGGGCTTTGGGGCGTAGGAGATACCTATTCATAAGCCATGCCGTCGTGCAGCTACATCCACGGAGTGTTCACTTACTAAATTGAAGTGGTTATAAATCGTGTAGTGAAAAGTGCTTAATGTTACCGAGTTAGCCGAAACGCGACATCATAAACGCCTTCTATCCACCCCATGACTAGTCACAACGAAACTGCTGCGGAGCGACAAGACAATTTCAAGAAAAAGAAAAAGATGTGAAGTGGTGGAAACGTAACAAAGGTGTTGAGGGAT